AAATTTCCAGTACTTTCGATTTCTCGAAATTGCTAGAAGGAACATACAGTTACATAGGCATAGAACCCAAATGTCGCCAAATGATCGCCAAGTTTTGCAACTTTTTGGCGATTTTTCAGTCGTTAAAACCATCGCCAGTTTGGCGCTAATTCGCCCCATTTGCCTGTTAAATAAATAGACTTACCCCTGTAACCCTGTTTTTCCGGCATTGCTTCGCATTCTTGAGGGTTTTCATGTTACATTACACAAAAGATACTACAATTTACATATAATTTCACTAAAATTAGTTACATATATACAAAATTGGCAACAGTATCATTAAATGAAGGATACATCTTAATTCAGCTTTAAATCTATTATATAATATCGCCGAAACAACATAAACCTGGTTTTAAAACTGTTTAGAAAACGTACCTGAGGCAGTTTGAATACTTATCTTACAAAGTAAGCATGAAATTTCAATTTTTTTCCCCTCTAGAGCTAAATAAGTTCAGTATGAGTTTCGTTAATTTCTTTGCAGATGTTAAAGCGACGTTTTGTTTCTATCCACGTACATTCAATCATACGACTGCAACTGAAATCATTACATCCGCTCAGTTAGCGTCCGTCTCAGAGTATTACATAATCCATACAGAATTGGTTACCAACTAGCAGTTTAAGGCCCTTGAAGATATTAATTGCACTGTGCTTTTTAGGAAGCCGAAGCTCTTAACCATCGTGCATAATACATGCATACTTACTAATATATAACACAAATATAAATATAAAACCAAAAATGTGATGCAATTACATAATACAAATACATAATACATTCTTGAATAAATGCTAATACATTCTTGAATAAGTACTAAAACCTAGCTGAGTTATTAAAACACTATACAAAAGTGATATGTTATAAAACTAATGTGTGCTTCCAATACCTGTACTTTATACCTATACACTATATATTTACAAGTACTTGATAGACCAATAACTTGTACCATATTATTAAAGAAATGCATTATACAGCATGTACAAACACAATATATTATCAGTCTACTTCTCCACGAGTATTTTTACATAGAAATGCATTATACAGCAGGTATAATTACAGTGTTTTATCAATCTACTTCTTAACGAGTATTTTTTGCATTCCTAGGTAAATACTAAAACCTCTTTCAAGTACTGATACATTACACACATGCAAATTTACCTTACTGGATACAGTACTTTATCCAATCTCCTATACTTTATAATGTTATTGCGCATAAATCTTTCCAAGTACATTATATACATTTCCAAGTACATTATACAAATATGTTATACTTGTATATTACATAGTTTCCAATATTTAATACAATTACAAGTATATTACAACTAGTACATTTACAGATAAATGACAGAACTAACAAGTACTAACAAGTATAACTAACAAGTACAACTAACAAGTATAACTAACAAGTACAGTTATGATATTTATTATCCAATTATTGATTAAATACCCATACATTACTAGAAGATTGCATCTTACAATATCTAGTACATATTATAATCGCTATTACATTATACAATTACTATGCACAATATGTCATCGGCATATAACTTAACTAGATACGATTCTGATTACATGCTAATATTTTGTTCAGTTACCACTTTTTTCGGCATAAACTGAACCACAATACATATTCCATATTACAAAATTCAGTACATTATAACATTACATTATAACAAGTCCAGTACAATATACAATTACACAATTGCTAATACATAAACTTTTATTGTACCTTATAACGCAACCTCTGACTAATGCAAAAAACTACTAAATAATTTACCTATACAACTGCTAAAATGTTAAAAAAACCCTTATAAATGCCAACACTAATTTGCAATTTCCAAAATATAATTACCAATATATACATACTATATATACTACAGTTACTACGTAATACTATACTACATTAGGGCACGTTCAGTTGCAAATACATTATGTAGTGTATTGTACCACAGCACACTACAAATGTACTGCCACAGACATGGAGCATTCTAATTTTCTATAATCTTCCTACAATTATAAATGGCCTATCCCTCATATTTATTTATAGTATTCCCTTAATGAACTGATTATGCTAAAATTGCTGACTTATGCTAAGAATATTTATCTGCATACCAGTCAATAATGTTTTTGAGCCGGGTGGTTGCATATTTATTATATTGGAGGCTCTTGTACCATACGGACTTATTATCACTTTGGCTGCCTGAGTCTTTGATTTCTAAGTAGATTGCAGCTAAATGCAAAGTGATCCGGGCTGCCTTCTTCACCACATTCACAAGATGCATTATCTCTAATAAAGCGGTAGAGAGAAGAAGGAAAGGGGCAGTGGCCTGTCAAAAGGTGAGTGGTATAGTAAGGCAAAATATGTCCGTTTATGCAGACTCTAGGGATGAACTTATATACTCTTCGTCCTGTGGTGCTTTTATTCCACTTGTCTTGTCATTTAATTATAAGTCGAGACATCGTTTGTTGCTTGAGAAAAGAGACCGGTTTGAAAGCCAGTATTTTTGGGTGTGTGGTAGAACATGCCGCTTCTTTGGAAATATGGTCAGCCATTTCATTGTCATATATGCCAACATGTGCGGGAATTCAGTGCAGATGAGGCCTATTGCCTGAGTGGAATACTTGTAGCAGCAGATGTCTAATATTATTCATTAATGGACTTCGTGAAGCACTCCCTGGTGTTGCAGTTAAAGCTGAGTCCGTATAGATGTGATTAGATGCCAGAGGTGCTTCCGACAAATAAACTATGGCTGCTCTAATCCCTGGCAGCTCTGCCTGAAAAACTGAGTTAAAAGTACGCGTTTCCTCTCCCCTGGTAAGTAATTCTATTGTATTCGATATAGCAGAGGCCACTGCCTGTTCCCTCTAGGGAATTAGAACCGTCCGTATATATTCCATCTGCACTAATGAGGTCATTTGGTTTCATAAGTGAGATGTGCTCCTCTAGGTTATTTGCCGCTGGATGGCAGGGATCTTCTGGACAATGATGTTCATAATCTGAATTGACGCATTCTTGTCCCCATAGATTAATTGTGATTCCAAGTCGGGAAACCTTCACGATTGTAGCTTCTAGCTCTGTGACTAAGTCAAGAGGAGGCGTTCCCGCTATTACTTGTAGTGCCGCTGTCGGAGATGTGCGATATGCCCTGCAGACCATAAGGAGTTGCGGTCGCTGGATAGAATTATGCATACATCTCATGTGCGATGTGGTCTGTGTAACCCAGATAGCCGCTCCATGTAAGACGATCCTTTCGGCCACAGTCGTGTACCAGATCTTAAGTAGCTTGCCTGGGATTCCCTATCATAGTGAGGTAATCATTTTCATGCTATTAGTCAAAGCAGTAATTCGTTGTTTCACACGTTTTAGATGCGGCAACCACGACAGCTTGGAATCGATGATCACTCGTAGATATTTTAACTCTTTTACGCATTTAATAGAGGTTCCTTGAAGTCTAAGGTACGGGTTCCTTCATAGCGGGCTCTTCCTTCCAATGATTAAGGCATTTGTTTTTATTGCAGAAATTTGAAGCTTGTGCTTCTTTGCCCAATCTGCAAAGATGTTAATGTTCTCCGCATATGCCAATAAGTAAACTCCTTCTTTGCCATCATAGAATTGGAATACGGAATTGGCAACAAGATTCCCTAATGTCGGGCCCAGACACGATCCCTTTGGGCAGCCTCTCTTAAGGGGCTTCATAGCCATTCCTCCATCTAAGGTGACCTGTTCGTACCTATCCTCCAAGTAACTTCTTGTAATATCCATTAAGGTGCCTGGACAGCCAGTTAGTTCAACGCTGTGGATAATGTGAGGCCACCAGAGAGAATAAAAAGCACCTTTAACATCTAGTGCAACTATTGCCATGAGCCGATCTTCTCTTCTGTTAGATGTAATGATTCTTAACAAGTGCTGTAATGCGTGTTCTGTTGAAAAAAAGCCATATTGTTGAATATGGATGCCTTGGATCATATTGAGGTGAAACTGGAGGCGGGCCAAAATGATCCTCTCTAAGAGTCTACCAAATGATGGAAGAAGGCAAACTGGTCGATATGAGAATGAGGACGCTGGATCCCTCCCTTGTTATACGAGTGCAACTGCGGCACTTGCTACAGTTGATGAGTGAAACTGCAATACGAGTGCAACTGCAGCAAAGGCAATAAATGATGAATTTTTTTAATAGGTTTACCTGATGTACAGGAGTTGTATGAATTACATCCGGGCTATGCCCGTGGTTGAATATTGTTCGGGAATTTTAAAATGCCAGCAATTATCCAATTAGTTAATCAGTTCGCCGCCTGAGTTCCGGCAGAAATGACTTTGGTATTACGTAATATCCCTTTGACGTGGAACTGTCGCCAAGCAGCTCGATTTATCGCCAGTTATGTGTAAGTATGACGTAACAACACACTCACAACATGTGCACTTTCTTTGGATACTATATACATGATTGATTCTAGATATGCAGCGTTCAGCTCGTCACAATATCATCTCCAATGATTTTGCAGAGACGATGTTCACATCTTTATGGTGAAACAATTACTATGAAGAGCCGTTATGTGTACGGCCCCTAGTGGGATTCCGTGATAAGCTCTGGTAAAGAGCAGGATAAATTCCTGCTGAACACCAGAATACGCAACTAAAGCATCAAAGAAAAGTTTTGTTTTTACAAAAGAGGAATTAAGTTGACTGCTGTACCTGCATTCTTCCCTTACATTAAAAAAAAAAAAAAAAAGAAAGAAAGAAAGAAATTTGTGACTACCTTCTGCAGAACAGCAAGCAGTAAATTATTTTCAAAGTTATGGGATCGTACTAACAAAAGAAATGAGTTTTATAGACACGCTACGATCAACTGACTATGGCCGACAAACAGTAATAGATTGCAACAATTACCTGACAAAAATTTGTACTCATAGCGCTTTAAACACACCACTGATTGTTTATTAAATAAATACATATCAATTCTTTCAGAATTCCAAGGAACGATAGGCAAAACTTTGGCTAATCTACTTCAACTTTCAGGAATTTGATTGCAGGTAGTTTTCACGGTCGATGGGATAATATGTAAGTACCGGAATTTTTTAACTATAAATATTTGATTAAAGAAGGAGAGACAAAGTGTGGACTTATTTGATAAAAAAGAATTAAGTTATTACATTGAAGAAAATTTTAAACTTTAAAGTAAAATCTAAATATTCAGTTAAATGTCTTTATGAAAATATGTATAAAATCCAATAAAGAATTTCTAAGGAAAATATTAAGTAGAGCTGTTGCAAAAAATAATCTGTTACTTTTCAGTATTTTAACTATTTTTTGTCAACCAGTGGGCGAGCAGTCGAATACTAGTAGTTCGACCTGGCTTCTGTTCCAGGCAAAAAGGTTGGTTGCACGGGCGTTTTCGTGGTTTTCCTCATGCGTAACATGAATATGACACAATTTCCCTAGAAAGTCCTCCAGAATGGTTTCCCTCCTCTTAGACAGATATCCTTAGGGTGCTTTAGATAGGGTGCTTTGTCATAATAAAAAATAAAATAAGTATTTTTCTGTCCTTGCTGTACGATTTCCTTTTATCCTTTCTTACCAATTTTTATCCGTCATACAGGTTTCTGTAACGTATATGTTATAGGCATTTTAAGAATTAAAAATATTTTTTCATAAAACGCGAAACATGTGAACATCCTCAGAAAATTTTTAAGATGAGAAGAGAATGGAGACAATTAATTATACCAATATGCATCGATAAAGCAAAAACACAGTTTCTACTCGATTCCATCAGGGACATGTGTCCTGTCTTCCCTCATCGCAAACGCTCATTGTTGTGAGTTCTCATTCCCTTAATATAGTAAGCCTAAATGTCTAGCTGTGTTTTATAGAAGGTCGAAGAAAAACTGAGATGCACAATTATAAGTTTTGCATATGATACAATACCTCACACTGCGCTTTTTACTGCATGATAGCCATATTCATACGATCTTGCTACAGTCAAGGATGAAGGCGTTGTTACTACTGAAAAAAGCTTCTTTGCACAAGGCTGCTTCGCCCGTCCCTAGTCAAAACATAAATTTTTTTAAATTATTTTTGACATTAAATCTAAGAATTAATGATAACTAAGATAAATGATAAGATAATGATAACTAAGATTTATAATTAGGCCCATCGTTTTTTGATGACAAAATACTAACATTTTTTTTAATATTTATAGATCTAGACTTTTATATATCACAAGCATGCCTAATAAAAATTTACATTCTAAAATGTCGTGTATACTGTTTGCTTCCATTCGTAAACTTCAGAGTCCATACCAATATCAGCAAGTAGTCCATACGAACACCAGCAAGTACTTTCGTAGAACCATGTTTGATTTATCATAGTTGACTGTTTCTGTTTCTCGCGTTCGTTATTCTCACTTTCTCACTGTATTCATCCCACTTTTCCATCTTCGTTTCTGGAATACAGCATTCACATTCTGTTCATTATAATTTTTTCTTTTCTTTTTTTCTTTACGTTTCTTTCTTTTTTTCCCTCGGGTATGAGACTCAAAACATTTCAACTCTAGAATCACAATTTACAATGTTTTGAAAACAAACATTATTTTTAATTAAAAAGAGCTTGCAAATAGCGAAATTTAGATGAAAATATCGTGTGTTTAGCCCAGTCTGATAGCTGCAAATGGTTCTTGAAGAGTGGTTTCTTAAATGTAAATCACGAGGTTTTTCTTTTCTCTTCTTTCCTTTTTACTTTGATTTTCTCTCTTTCTTTTTCTCACCGAACACGAGACTCACAAATTTCAACTCTAGAATCACAATTTACAATATACTGAACAATGCATTATTCTTAATTAAAGAGAACTCGCAAATAGCGAAGTTTAGATGAAAATATCACGTGTATAGCACAATCACACAGCTGCAAATGGCTCTTATAGAGAGGTTTATAAAATGTGGATCACGAGATGTATTAGAGTTTCATTTATTTTTTATAATAATAGTGCAGACACCGTATCCTTAAAAGTTCTTACCTGGCCTTTATTTTCTTAACCTTTGGTCATAGACATATATTTCCTACTACAATTTTTTGTAAACGACGCAAATATTGTTTTGGTATATTTAAATTTAAAGAAGTCAATGTAAAAATTACGAAATCTAACTTTATATGTATTCCACCGCTTCCTACTCTTATATTAAAAAAATTATACGCATCATAATAAATAAAACAAAACAGTTTTAATCCCATACGAAAACAATCATGCAGCTATTTGATATTAAAGTCGAATTTCATATTCAGAGGACCTACATAAATTGATTAGCAGAATACTTGCATTTGTAAGTAGCTAAAAATAAAATAACAGCTTCGAAAAAAATTTCGGATATTAAGAGATGAAGTGATGAGCATTTTTCTGCGGATTATTATGAAACGTAGTATTAACCAAAGTAATTTTTTAAATGGAGATCAGTAAGCAAGCAACTTTTCTGGTGCATTGCCAAACACTCGCTCAAACTACATCTTCGATCGCTATTAAAGTTTCGCCTTATTTACCTACTGTTAAGGTTGATAAAAGAAGTGGAAGTAACTGGAAAGAATTAATATAAAAATTATACGTTAGTTATGATAAGCATTTTGTTATTATAGTCTATGTTATCTCTACATATAATAAAAGAAGGAGTTTGTGTGTCTTTCGTTGATGCTGAGTTAATAGACCCAGGGGCTACGAAATTTAGTATGTAGGTGCATCTAGACAAGAGCCAGTGCCCCTCGGAGCGATTTTTTTTCAAAATTCGAATAAGGATTTTTTTTTAATTTTATCTCTTCCATTTTTTCGCATCATTTTGAATAGTTTCATTCGTTTAGAAATGTGGTTTTGGAAACAGTTTTTCATTCATTGCTTTGGATGCTGGACTGTTGACTGTTTTCTCTTGAAAATATGAGATTTATTGCTTATTTCAATGTAATTTTTTATATTATGTTTTAATTATATATAATTTTAATTAATATGTAACAAGTGTTGCATGATTTTTTTAGGAAACAAAGTTCTTAACATCCTTTATACCATTTGAATTCTTAAGATTTTGTATCGGGAAGTTGGTTAATTTATTTATTAGGATAATTAATATTTGTATTAAGGGATATTGCTTATTTCATTGTAATTTTGTTTCATGTAATACAATTTTAAATTTTTTTTGATAAAGTTGTAATGCAGAGTAAAATTCTGCGCAGTTTTTGAATTTAACGTTTGGTATTCCCTTTAGGCATTTTCCCGGTACATTTAAAAGCCAGACGAAGGCTGGCCGCGTAGCTGCTAGTTTATAATATTCCATCTTTAAATCAGGAATAATTTGACAATAGTTTTATGTACTTCGTCCAAAACCAACAGAAAAAAAAAACCCGTTAAATTGGAGAAATCATAAATCCGGATCTCGCTAAATCAGGATTAGGCGACATTTTAATGAGATGACTATACATGCGTTTCTTGTTTTGTGAATGCGCGTTTTAACACAAACGTCAGTTTGTGTTAAAGAAAGGAGACACATAGAGATAAAATTTTCACGTTTATGGAAATAAAAGAAAACAAGCTACAAAATAAAAGCAACGTGAATGAGTAGCTTAATAAAGATGGGTCAAACTGTTTTACAATTAGCATAATTGAGAGTCCTGCATGTCAAGAGAATGGAAAGAAACAAAAGCTTTTCGTCGACGTAGAACTCTTCAAAAGCCACCTTACAAATACATAAAATAAATAAATAAAAGGAAAATTTGATTTTTTTTTCAGATTGTCTATCAAAATAGCTATATTAAATATTTCCTTTCCGCCTCTTGTCATCGCAGCACTTGTCCGAAACACGTGCAAGCTAGCCCTAAGAAACTTGCATCATTTTATGAATTAAAATAAGATAAAGTAAAATACTGATTTAAGGAAATTAAACAAAAGTAACAAATTCAGGAGAAATTTATTCACGTTTCATTTTTTATCTGGATAATTGGTGAGAAGATGACATAAAAATTAGTATATAATTTTATTTAATAGCTTCCTGTATAAATTATATGCGGAAAGGAAACTTTTAAGATTCACTAATATTTCTTCTACTATTTCTTCTAGTGTTTTAGGCTCTGCGTCTACGTGTATATAATTTTAATCGATAAATTTGTATTATTAATACATTTTATACATTAAGTTGCATTATTAATACATTTTTGTGTATATATTTTTGTATGCTGAGCACGAAGGGACTGTTTTAAATTGTAATTAGATTACGTTTGTATTAGTGTTATTTGACCTCTATTACACGTGTGAAGTTCACTCCATTTCTCACCCTACTTTAAGTATCTATTGCTTAAAAAATATTATATTTCATATTTTCATCATGTGTGAGACAGATTTTAATGATTTTTAACTACGTGCTGATTTACTAGTATTATATTTAAATACATTAATTTTAAAATCAAATTAAAATTATATAATGTGTGAGATACACGCGCTGATTAACTAGTATTATATTGAAACACATTAATTTAAAAATCTAATTAAAATTACTTTCCTGTGCAGAAAACAGAGAAATGTAATATTTCATTAACTGTAACTGTTAATTTTACCATTATTTAACTCTTAACTCATAAACACAATGAAGTTCTACGTACGGAATATCCAAAATAATAATAATAATAATAATAATAATAATAATCGTAATAAATAAATAAATGAAGGAAAATAGGAATAAATGGATATGAAATAAATGAAGGAAGCTGAAAGAATTCCGATTTTTAATGATCGCTAAAAGGTCTATTTTAAAGTTTATCGGTAGAGATTATCAATCGAGATGACCGAGGTGCAGTGGCGAAGTAATTTGCCAATTACTAGATGAATGTACGTTTATACTAACACGGCAACATGTTATATCTGGTCTGCATTTGAAAAATGAAAAAATGTAATAATTCTATACAAATATTTATTATTTTTAATTGAATATATCACGAATTAAATATTTTCTTTTTTAAATCAATCAGATTAAAAAGTAAAAAAGTAATATTCTTAAGATTTGCATGTATCGCTTTTAAAATGGCTTAGTTTGTTA